AATAGTTACCAATTCCTTCTTTGCTCACTTCTAATGTGAATGTTCTCCTACCTTCATTGCTTCTCACATGTTTTCTCTTTATCTCTTGTCCATTCTCTGCATTTTAATCCTGTGATCGAGCCATACTATTTTCTACTTGTCCCACTTATTAATTCACCTTATCTCATTTTAGACCCATTAAATCTGGTTAATAGAAATGATGATAATGAGTAAGTTAGGACACACATGGTTGCTGCTTGAAGAAGCTGTATTCATTTAAACACAGGAATTAATTACACTAGATATTTGGTTATTCCAATTTTAGTTTTCTTGTTTATTGCTCTACTTGCCAAGCCAAGAATAGCACCAAACACAAAGATGTGTCTTGTTAACGTTTGTTGAGTGAGTAAAAGTGTGTTGGGCTGATATGCAATGCATTCTAGAACTTTAAAATCTGAAAAGTAACTTGATTTGAGTTTGAAATGATTTTTAACTTTATATATGGCATGTCTGCTTTTAAAAAGTGCTTTAAATCTTTTTATTATGCTTTACAAATTTTTAATAAATAAATTAAAAAATAAACTGTAGTCTTTAGGAAGCTTACTCTTTAAGGGTTGGAAATGAAAAAATAAATATTCATTGTTTAAATACATGCTTGTTAATGGCCATGAGGTCATTTAAAACTAGTACCTCTTTGTTCTTTTGTGAGTGACGTGTACTGAGCATAGCCCCACCGCCTCAGGTGCAGAGCACAGGCCCACGGTCACTTCTGGTCTGAGCCTTGGTCACCTCCCCCCTATGACTTGGGGCCAGTTATTGCTCCTCTCTGCCTCCACTTCCTCATCCTTTGATCTGTGATCCAGGCATAACAATTTAGCAAACTTTGTAGAATTGCTTTGAGGAGCAAAGAAATTCATATTAATAAAGTGCTTAGAACAGCACCGGGCACCTAACAAGTGCCTGCTAAAAGAGACTGTGAAATGAATCTAATAACATTACCTACCTCAGATGACAGCTGTGAAAAGTAAATGAGATGTTGGTAAAACTCCTAACACAGGAGTTTTATATCTCCTATAACACAGTTTATATCTATTTACAAAGGCTTTAAAAATAAGCATACATAAAACAAGGGAACAACTGAATGATGCTCTCTGTAATGGGAACCAAAACTAAAGCCCGACGTCAGAGAAAAGGAGTGTGAAAGAAGGACCCCTGCCCAGGGCAGCCCCCGGGGCCCAGAGGCTGAGGGGGAGAGGAAAGGGGAGACACTCTAGGAGTGCTAGGGGTGCTGGGGGTGCTGAGGGTGCGGGGGTGGGGGGTGAGTCATAATTAGTAGGCCATGCAGTGGAGGCCCTGGAAAGCCTGAACTTGTGCTGGAGTTGGAGGCTGGAGGCAGGACACCCTGTCCGTGGGTGTCGGGCAGCATGGTGTCCAGGTGCCTGGTTTCTTCTCACTTGGGCTGCCCTGGTGGAGTCGCTCCATGTCTCCTGCACACACGCTTTCCTGGGTCTATGTGCTGAGGGTCCCTGTTGTTCCTGCTCGATACCCACGACTTTAGTACTCAGCTTTCATAACACTTTCTTGAAATTTCATTTCTTCTATAGAATGGCTGTGCCCCACTGAAAAGTTTCCCTGAAAGGAAATGAGCAGGGAGGGAAAATGTCCCAGTCCCCTAAGTCCTTGCAGCAGGCATTTTGTGGCCACTTGTCCAGTGAGCTCTCACATGTGTCCTGCTTCCTCTCTCCTATTTTCTTCGGAATAGAGTAAGTTGTCATTTAACCAGTAACAATGATAATGGGCCAGATCCTATCAGTGATCCAAGGTCACTAAAATGTTATCAGTGTATAAATTCTTCCTGAGTTGCAGCGCTTCACATAAAAGATGCCTCTTGAGTCTCTAAAGGATATGATTTATTCTCAGGGCTTTTACTCTCAGTCTAGCTTTCCAAAGGCTTAGTATATTGTAAACCAGTTTTCAGTCATTTTCAGGTTGTAATCTCAATGTTTTTCCATTTTTGCTTTGGAACCACTGGTCGGTCAAAGAGTATCACTTTGGTTACCTGTAATCTTTACCCAGAGGTCTGTAAAAAGACATAACTGTGAGAGAACTGGTATTTTGAAGATATCTACACGCATGAGCATAGGAGTCATAGTCACAGAGCACATTGCATTGGCTGCTGAATTCACTGCCTCAGATAGAAATTTTACATAAGAAACTTTGTAAATACTATATGCATGTAACAGATTATCCCCAGAAAATGAAGAAATTCCTTTTTAAAAGGCTATAGTAGTTTTAAGGAGTAAAAAAAAGGAAGAGAGATAAAATTTACAACTTAATAGAGTTGAACTCAATAAATCCTAAGAGTAGCATATTAGAATAAGATTCAGAAAAGATTTTACATAAGAATTTATAAGATTCTGTAGATATTCTTCTTTTGGCCCTCAGAAGATCAAAGAAGCCTGGGAGGAAGATACCTTTATTGGATTTAGAGTTGTCTGATGCTTGACCTGACACCTTCCGATGAATTCTGACAACTCATTGGCCAATTTCTATATAAATGAAGTGTGTCAGAAGGTCTCATTTACTAAGTAAGTCATGATTACCTGCCAACTTATAGTAACTCATTTAAACCTCACATGTGCCTGTGAGGTCAGTATTATCCCTATTTTATAAGTAAGGAAATTGAGGCTCAGAGAGTAAGGGGTGAGTTGCCCAAATCCTCTGGCCAATGAGGACAATGCTAGTACTCAGACCCTCCCTAACACCTCATAATTTTTCTCTTTTTGTAGTAACTTCTTTACAACATTCTCTTGCGTGTTTACCCTCTAGTCCCAGAATGCTTTCGAGCTTTCAAAATTGGTTCAGCTATAATTCTTTAATCTACATCCAAGGTATGAAAACTGAACTTAAGTCAAAATTACTCTTTCAAAGAATCACATCTTACATTAACATTTCATAAAAAGTATTTTGTGTCCAAGAGAGTTGAGGGAATAAAGAACTTGAAATCATAGTTTACCTGATTTCTTCAGTACAGGACTTCTTTGGGTGCTTAATACACTGGTGTGAACTCTGAATCTCTAATGGGAGGACATTATACTCATAGGTATAGTTTCACAAGCTATTTATTCATTCTTTTATTTTGGTAGACTACCTCAGGGGATTAGTTTTCTATGAGACTACATGTCTTAATTATGTATCATCTTGGACAAGATTATGTATCTTAATTATGCATCATCACTTCACTTCTTTGGACCTAAATTTTCAGTTTTACAAACGGGGCTAAAAATATTCCAAAGTTTTCTTTAGCTTTAAAAATTCTATGACATAGCCCCCTCTCCCCACCAAGTTTAAGCATTTGTGCTACCAAGTGAACTTGCTAAAGGTAGAATAAGATTTTCTAAAGATCATTCATTCATCCATAAAACATTTATTGATCGCCAAGCACTGTGCCAGGTTCTGAGGATAAAAAAACAAGTAGGATGCAAAGAAGCCTAAGCTCCACTGTGTGCCCTCAGGGTGAGGGTGTGCCATACTGGTGCACAGACAGTAAGAAAGCATGTGCAGGAAAGATGGACAACATAGTCAGAGGGCAGTGTGAATGGATGATCATAAAACAACTCAGAAGAGAGAATAGAAACATTCATACATAATAAAGACTCCAGGAGCACCTGCCACCTCTTTGCAGGAGTTCAGCAAGGCTGTCTGGAGGGTGAACACCCAATCTGGGTTTAAGGGATGGGTAGGTGTTAGGGGAAGGGAAGGTAGGCACTCCAGGCAGAGGTGCCATGGGAACAGCAAAGACACAGGGGGTTGGAGCAGCATAACGCGTGCACAGTGTGCAGTGGTCTCCGAGAGTTCGCAGAGATCTCGGGGAGTGTGGCAATTGCTAGAATGTAAAGTGTGAGGGAAAGTTCAGAGTTGTAGGAGTAGGCAGAGCCAGTTGTTGAGGGCCTGCTCTGTCAGATGCTTGAACTTGGTCCTGCGATAAAGATCCAATGGAACATGTGCAACAGGGAAGTGACATGCTCCCAGTTACGTTTTACACAGCTGTGTGGAAAATAGATACAAAGAGAGAAAAGAGAGCTAGGGAGACCGGTTAGGACATCACTGCCGATGTACAGGGGACAGATAATGGGCACCTGAACCAAGAGAGTAACAGTAGGAAAGCAGAAGAAAGAATGGATTTGAGAATATTTAGCATTTAGTAAGTTTAACTTGCACAGCCTGGTGATTAATTAGGGGAGTGGGCTTAAGGAGACACCATTACACCACAGCCCTTTCCGTTCATTAAATTTAAATGGAGACTTCATGTGGAGGGCTCATGTTTCCGGGCCGCTTTGTATTGCCCGTGATCTGATTTGGGTTGTTGGGTTATTGCAAACAAATGGCAATTTTATTTTTAATATAAATGTAATTATTAATCACAATTATAAATAAGTTTATTTTAAACTTATTTAACCATAGAATTATGAGGCAAGCAATAGATAGTGTTTATACTTACTAATTTAAGTGTAGCTGTTTTTAAATATATTTTTTGTTGAAGGAAAATAAACGTATGATCATTAGTTTAGATTTTATTTACCAGTATTATAAAATATCAATTAAAGTATTCTTCTTTTTACCAAACTGTTAAAATTGATACAGGTGAATTTAAAAGTTTGTGAAACTACTCCAAACTTCATCTATGGCAAGTGTTCAAAGCTCTGCTGTCCCGCAAGCCAAGGAACCAATCCTGGCAACATTCTCCTTATTGTGAAGGTGAACTGAAACCTTTCCTGCGTGGCGCTTACCATTTCTTTCTGAATGCACCGTTTAAAGCAGATGCTGTAGGGTTAGAAACATGGTCTGCATAAGACCTGGCTCAAATACTCCTCACTTGAAGTTGATGTAAGTATGAACCAGAGCCCAACTTTTTGCAGCTCTATTAGCAAGTGGTTCTAGCTGTATTGGCTGGAGGGGTAGGAGTGTGGAGGGAAGAAGGGGACAATAGGAAGAGTAAACACAAAGAAAACATCTCTTACCGGGTTCTTGTTGTATTTTGTGGTTGTTTTTAAACCAGGTGATCTCAGGCTCAGGGACACCGCTGGCATGACAGTCTAGAGTAGTGGAGCTGCTGACAGCCACTGTGTGGTCACTGAGGTTTCGCAGGAGGTGTGGTGCTTCCTGATCTGATGAATGAAGAAAGAGATTTGCTATTACTTGTCAGTTTCTTTTTTGTATATGCATATTGACATTTGAAACACATAACCAGCAAAACTCAACTGTAAGGTTTCATTCGTATTTTCTTTCCGAAATGTCTCTTCTGTGATTAACCCACTGCTTCCTCTTTATTAGGCTGGTACAATACATTGAAATTCATTAGAACACAGAGTAAAATCAAGAACTAAATTCTTTGTTTTTAGATTTTATTATCAAGATTTTTTGCCTGGCCAACAAGTTTTCTTTCTCTCTTTCTTTCTCTCTTTCTTTCTTTCTTTCTTTCTTTCTTTCTTTCTTTCTTTCTTTCTTTCTTTCTTTCTTCCTTCCTTCCTTCCTTCCTTCCTTCCTTCCTTCCTTCCTTTCCTTCTCTCTTTTCTTCTTTTTTTGAGAGAAGCTTTTCTAAAACCTAAGGATTTTGCATAATGTTTTAGGAACTAGAAAGGAAAAACAGAATTTTGAATGCAGGTTTGCAATGACTTTTTACATAAAAACATAGCATGGTGGTGATGAGCTAATGTAATTTTGTAGGCACTTGTGTAGCTGTGTTTGTGAGGGGATGTCTGTGTTTCTCAGCTGTCAGTAACCTGGGTTGTAAGGCAGCAGACCAAACAGCAGAATTTCTTGAACTTTGAAAGCTTTATTGATTATTTCCTCCCTCAGTTCCCTTCCCAAATGCAAGTCACCAAAGGATTCATTCAAGAGGCAGAGGCACAGATTTGTGGTTTTTGCACTATATAATAGTACAATATTATATTTTATATTATTTTCTCTTAAAACATACAAATATGATACAATACAATTTATTTTAATAAAATGCCAACCAATATAGTACAACAAAATGAACTTAATACATTAGGATGCAATACATTACAACAGTAAAATCCCACACAGAAACGGCAGTACCCCCGAGGTCCCAGTGAGCACAGTGTCTATTTAACGAAGTCAGTCCTGCTGATGTGTGTACATTCTAGTTAAGCAGGTGCTAAAGCTTCCACAGTAAAAGGATAAAAACAACTCCTGATGTCTTCCCCACCCTCCCAAACCATCCATTTCCCCCTTTGTAGCAAATTCCAGAACAGAAATCAAAAGAATTTTGGCATAACTTACACATTCTGCGTCACTGGTTTCAATTACACAGTATGAGCTTTCTCTGACCATTTCTGATTTTCTCATCTGATTGTACTAAACTGTGAAAGCAGCTTAGGAGGGGCTGCAATGCTATGGGAGATGACACACTGCCATGGCTTTGGCTCCATGTCCCTGCGGTTCTGCCGAGGCCCCAAACCTTTCTCTTATTCCTGCAGGGAAACTCTCAGGATTAGCATTCATTGAAGCAATTTAGAAATCTCAGGTTAAAAAGTGTATTATCATGTAACTTTTAAACATGTTGACATAGTATAATATGGCATAGTATAATATGGCAGTTACTATGTTAAAAGAAACAGATTTCCAATTAAATTTTGATTTCCATAGTTTATCATTAGCCTTTTCTCATTTTATACAAAATGAAATCTGAAGGGAAATAAGAATGCTGAAGGAAAAGCTCTGATTTGCAAGTGCTTCCCCAACCCTTTTGCCAGTGTCTGTGTGTCTTTCCTCGTCTCTCTGGCCCCAAACAGAACCATTTGAGTAGTTCTGTGCCTGTGTTCTGTGTATCTGTCAGATAGCTTTACTAACCAAACAGGTAGCCATCTATCAAAATCTGGCAGTTTTGACAGTTTTACGTGAGAAGACCCCAGACATGTCAGTGAAACCTGGAAGATGATGAAGAACAGTGTCATTTACTATTTAGTGCCTTCTATGGGAGGAAGCCAATTGTGATGTGATGTGTCTCATGGAAATTCAGACCCAGTTCACTAAGTTAGACTTTTAATAGTTTCTCTGAGCACATTTGCTATTTCCCATGTACTAAAAATGCTTAAATAACCAACCACTGTCCATAGGCCTTAACATAAAAAGAAAATCTGATCATAGGGCCTGCAGCACCCAGATAATCTTCATAGCTACCTACTGTAACATCATCAACACAGGCAGGATTTGGCTTTCCTGGCAGGTGTACTGGAAAGCAATGCTTATGTGCACGAGAACACTTGCTTTTAACAAAAATGTCATGAAGAACGCCCAGAGGCTGTATCTGCCCTACACAAACTTCAGATGAGCAACAAAAGAAAGGCTTCAGAATAAACATAGGACTTTCAATTAAACACAAAGCTTACACAAACATGTCTGAAACTTACAGTAGTATGGCTTTTTTCTTTGTACCCATTTCTGATAAAAAGTTCTCCTAGAAGCAAATTCTCATTTTGGGCTAGTTTTTGAGTGACCAATCAATCAAGGGATCATTTTATTAATTTCCACTTTCTAGTTATCTGTTTTGACATTTTGAATAAGAAAGTTACATCGAACACATATTTTTAAAACTAAGTTATTAAATGAAAATAGGCAGCTGCTTCCCCAAAGTTAACAAAGTGGAGCTGATCCCTTCCAACTGAGAAAATCAGAACTAACAGAATATTTCTGCTGCTTATCATAGCCAAAGAGAGCTCCCACCAGCTCTTCCCTCTCGTGCCCGTGTCTCTGTGCCTGAGACCCTGCAGGCCCCATGCACACAGAGCGTCCATGCGCATGGGACGGGGACTGAGGAGCCAGCCTCTCGCCCTCCATTCCATCGCTCTCCTTCTCCACATGGGCTCTTTTCTCTCTCTTTTTCTTGTTACCACCCCTCCCTCCAAACTCAAAAGTGACTAATAAAAACAACTGGTTTTCTTTTTGAAACTCTCTGGAAGGATTAATTATACAATGAACAATTAATTACAGAATTCTTAAAACCATCTCTTGGAAGTACTTAAAATCATGTCCTGTGAATACAAAGACCCTTGTCTTCCTCATGAAAATTGCAGTTGCAATTTTAAGGGGAAGGAAATGATAGACTCTGCATGTCCAATTCCCGATGCTTTCCAAAGCACTCCCCCACAGTTCCACTTGCTCTAAAAATCAGGCTCACAAGGTCTGTGGGTCTAAGGTATTATTTCCTGAAGAAACACACTGACTTATAATGAACAAAGACGCCAGGCACAAGAGCCATAGGTAAAATTTCAACATACAATTGATTATTCTTTCCTTTGGGCTGACAACTTCCAGGTTACTGATTGTTTTCAGAGTATTCCGGGCTCCATAAAACTGGCATTCTGGGGAAATGGTATTGTTTACTCTTTCACACTTGACAAAAGCAATTCCCACGTGAAAGACAAGTTTAGCCGTGGGACAGCATCTGCTACCTAAAGTCGGAAACACTCCAGGGAGTTCCCGAGCCTGAAAGGTTGTCACACCGTCAGCTCCCATTGGACTGCCTGGCCACAGCGTTCCCAGCCTTGGCTATTTTGGTCATTATGGTTTGTTTTCCAATAGTTCATGCCAGTCAAATATGATGATCAATCATAAATGAAAACAATAGAACAGTGAGTATTAAACTAGTCAAAAAAAATCACTTTCCCCTCAAATGCAAGCTTAAAACAAGAGATTATAATCTCTCTTGATTTAAAAATAATGTGTATTTTTCAATGACTCTGAATTCTGCTTCTGTAGTTTTGCCATTTCTTAATCCCCATAGAAAACCTACTAACATAGGTATGTGGGGAAGTAAACTTTTTTTTAATGGGCAAATTTTAGATTTACATTTGGAAGACTGCATTAAACCTCTGGTCACAATGGCCTTTATTTGCTTAATAGTTGATTGTGGTACACCTTTCAATGCCATCAATTAAACAGGATAAAGCTCTTTAAAAGAATAACCAGAGAACAAAAAAATCTGAAACAAAGGTGTGATCCGCTTTGTTTCAGGTGCTGTCAGTAGCTGCTCAGTCCACTCAGAAGCAGCGAGGACAAACTGACCCCTGGACTGGTCGATCAGCTACTGAGAATCACACGGGACAGGAGTCATCTTGATTGGGGTGCGTTTTCCCGATTCCTGTTGTGATAAACCTTCAATACCTATGAATCATACCAACACTTGCACCCGTGGGACCCACTTTAGAAGCTCCAGTTTAAGATTAATGTGCTTAGTGTAAAAAAACAAAGCATTTTCAAATAAATAAGCATTATAACTTGGTATTTAGGTGCTATTTACAAATGAAGAATAGATAAAATAATACAAAATAAAACCAGGCAGAGGTCCGACGGAGTCTCAAATTCAACTGTACTCATTCTCAGCTGGGAAATTAACTTATTCATGTCCATCTTTGGCAGAAACCAGCATTTCAGTTCATGCAGCTTTGAAACTCAAAAATACAAAGAGGCTGGCGTCAAAGTGGAAGGAAGGGGTCAGCTCCCAGGTGTTGTTTACCAGGCAGGAGAAGACAGCAAAGAGCAAAAGCACAGAGTGTGCCTGCGGGGATCCTCCAAATCCAAATGTGCACCACGTCACTGGGTTGGCCCTAGGGAGACCCCTCAGCCTGATGGGGAGCCCAGTGCAGGCCTGGGGGCTCATGATTACTCCCATCATCTCCAAACTCATTTTGGGAGGAGCATCTCCTCTGAGCCAGAAAGTTAGCAACAGTGACAATAAATCAAGATGATATGAGACAACTGTTACTTTTGAATGAGTCCTTTAATGTTTTACATTACTTTGTGTGGTACAATCATTCCTTGTGCTTTTAAATTTGGAGATCCGAGAGAAAACAGCCTTTTTGTTGCAGTGCTCACCTCTAATTATAACTTCTTTCTTCTGAAGGACATCTTCCCCTGTGTATATGTTCCTGGCTCTGCAGGCATAGGTGCCTGAATCTTCCAGGGAAGCATTCTTGATGACAAGGTGAAGCGTAATGGAGTGCTCCTTAGTGACGCTCATTTTTTGCCTGCTAATACCATGGTGCATGGTTCGGTTATTAGCTGTCCGCAGCAGAATCCAAGTAATGTCTCTGTATAAGAACTTGCTCACTGTGCAAGACAGTTTCAGGTCCTCCCCTTCAGTAGGCATTTTTTCCAAGTTAACATGGAATCCATTTGGCACATCTATAAAATAAGAAGAAAGAACTTTTGGTTCATAGAAAAACCAATGTATCACACAGAGGCAGCATCTCATCAGGAGATATTCAAAGATCTGAAGAACTGTTCCTACAGATCCTGTCAGCATCAGCGTTAAAAGGATGACTATCTGTTTACTTTAGGGGCACTGATCAAATATAGCAGGTGGGAACCAACTAAGTTCAACCAAATCCAAAGCAGGAAATGCCTAACAGAACGTTTAGTAGGATGGGACATTTTCCATACTTGCCCAAATACGCTCTTCAAAGTGGAATTGTTTTTTACAGTTTGGGATGATAACCACATTTCCCATTTCTTTATCATAAACAGAACTACTGGTAAATGGACAAAATAGTAAAGTAATAACAGCAATTTGTACTAAAAATCACAGGTGTTTTTTCAGTCAGGCTTATTCGAAGTAAGTTGTGAAAAGTGAGACTAGAAGTCCCAGGTCCCTGGTAGAAGAAAGACCTAGTCATGCCAGTCAAAACCACGTCAGCCCTAAATGTTCCAGAGAAAGAACACTGCTTCCCCGACTTTCCCATGACTGGGTCGCCAGCACCCCGCCCCGTCCCCCCCACCCATGCCAACCGCCCCCCCCCCCCAGGCTGCCATCCACAACTCTGCCTGCTCTTCACTGGCACGGTGGGCTCAGCAGCCGGGCAGAGCCAGCTCACTTCCTCAGGTCCCCTCAATGGTGATCATGCCCTTCAGACATAAAAGAGCAAAGATTTCTTCTGAAGATATAAACAACTAGTCTGGAAGAGTTGCCAGATAATTTTAAAACTCAAACTTGCTCTCAAAAGCCTATTAAGCATTTTCTGAAAGTGTCTGTGTCATTAAAGCCATTTTCTCCAGTGCCCATTTCTGGCTAACCTTCATGTCCATTTTCTAAGTGCCCCTGGAGACACCTCATGAGCTCTCTCTCCTCCCCAGAGTTCTCACCCTGGACCACCATTAGCTTTTGCACTGAGAGGTCCCCAGTCTCATTTCACCAGGGGATTTTAAAAAGCCATTGGCTACTACTGGCCCTGAACTGATTTGCTCTCAGAACCTTGCATTGCTTGTTACTAGTGGTGTATCTGTATTTGAGCGAAGAATTTGGGCCAACATTTTACAAAGTACTTTGAAGATGAAAAGCTCTATGTTATGCTATTATTATTATTATTATCCTTTGCACACAAAGCTATAAAGAAACCTTTAAACCTTAAAGAGACAATAGTCCAAAATTAGATATCATATCAACTCTTTCCTAAATCTCACTTTGCTTGTTTTTCTGATTTTTCTGGGCTTGGCTTTATTATAAAGTGTCACGTCTGAAGAAATGCCAAAGTATTCATTTGAAATCTGGGAGCGGGAGTAACAGTGGCTTATGAAACTATCAGTGGTCAGAGAGAGAGGAGAACAGGGGAGGTTTTCCTGCTTTGAAAATTAAAATCTAAGGATGTGCCAGAAGATGCAGAAGCAGCTGACAGTCATTTCTAACATAACAATAAGGTGTCTGAAATAGCCCCTGTAATTCAGCAGATTTTTATAGTTGAGACATTTTCTAAGCATAAGGATCAAAACACCAGCCACCCCCGTTTACACATATACTAGAACAGAAGTCTTGCGTACCAAGTGCAATCAGATAATTTCTCTAAAGACCACAGACTCCATTTATGAGGTCACATCTGGTACTGGAACCTAAGTGAGCCCAAGTAACACCACTGAGACCAAGTAGAGAGTTTCTATTTACTTCAGTGGTTTGAAACTTCCTGTGGAAATTAGCTCACAGGTTTCCTGATGGAAGATTTTGTTTATCTTTGCCAAGCACCACCAGGAATCTCAAAATAAAATGCATTTAGTGACACTGGGAAGCCAGGGAGATAAGGCAGTGCTGTTCCTGTTTCACACTCAGTGATTGCTAACACACCCACAGTCCTGCTGCGTGCCAGCAAAACAGCAAAAACACACACATGGGAAAAGAAAAGAACCCAGTAGGTTCTGAGGTCCATTTTTCATGTGGGGCACACTGTCACCAAAGCTAATTTGATGTATATTATCGGACAGCCTCTTAGAAGTGATTATCTATGTCTCAGTATTGCCCCTTTGGCATTCTCTCTTGATCTCTGGAAGATGATAAATAAAATGTCCTAAAACTAGTTAATGAATCCAGAGGGATTTTTCTCCTTAATCCATGTTGATTTTTTTTCTTTTTGCCTAAGTACAAAAACAGACCCAAGAAAGAATTGCCTTCTAACTCTCACAGTGAAAACAAGAAATCTTCCCACACTCAAGTGTCTGTTAAAGATTCAGCACAAGCAGCATCAGCATCCGCTAACACTCACTGTCTAACAGGTATCACACCCATGGCAGCTTATGAGGTGTGGGGGAGAAGAACCCACCCCTGCTCAGGAGAGACGTTCAACCTAGGGTTAGGTGAAAATGTTATCTATGCACGAGGGCGTAGACATTTTGACTGGATTGGTCAAACATGTGAACCGAGTTCATGAAAGAGACAAAAGGTTGAAAGAAATCAAAAGGATGGAAGGTGTCTCATTTGTCAGGCGGGAAGAAAGAAAACTTCTCTTCTACTGAAGAAGAGAAATAATATTCTCTAAAAAGAAAGTGAGTGGTTACCAGAAAGTTTTGCTTTTTCAGTCGCTGCTACACATATGTGATGGCCCAACTCAGGGTCAAAGCCGTGCAGTGCTCTAGTGGCTGCAGGTCATCACTTTTCATTGATTTAGAAGGCAACGCTAAGTCATCATTAGACAGGGTCCGGCACAAATAACATGCCTTTTTATTACAGAATCTTTTATTACAAAATCCTAAGCATGTAATTCTGTCACATAACAATATCACACTCAAGCACACCACGTGACATTTCGGGTGAAATGTTCAAACTGCTGTCCATCTTGTGCAAGACATTCATGTAGCCTACTGACCACACTCGAGCAAGACTTACTTCTGCCGGACCCGGTATTTTAAGGAAGGAGAAACGTGATTGAAATGAGGCTCAGCAAAGAACCAAATCCAGATCTAGGTTTAAAGCAGTTAAATTTTAGACAGATTTTTTAAAGCATTATCTGCACTAGGGTCAAGCATAAACACACAAAATAGACACATAAGGGGTGATATTCCCAAGACTATTTAGTCTCCTCTCTAGTGAAAGTAAATCTGGTGACAAAGAAGATTTGAGTAAGAAAAAGATAATAATGAGTTTTAAAATAATGAATGTAAGCAAATGAATCCATTAGCACCAATCAAGACTAGAACTTTTCATTACTGGTAGGGAAGAGTTCAGAAAAATTATATTTCAGGCAATAGGAATTTGGTTGAATTTGTGCTCTGTTTTAAGAGTACAATTCTAGACTTTCTAGGGAAAAAATGGTGAGAGCTTCAAGGAGGTATGTTTGAATTGAATTCTCATTGCTCCTTTCTGTGGACAAGCCTTGGGATCTAGAAAAGGTCTCAACCACTCCACAGTTATTAACTGTATCAAATGGCAGGAGGTGAGAGGGAATTTCTTTCTGAATTCAGCTGATCATCTCGATCAGCTTCACCAGCTGGGACACTATCAGCAACAATACTGTGCGTGGGTTTATGGTGCAGCGAGGAGGAACTCAGTGGGACAGACAGGTGAGACGTGGGTGCTGCAACTCATGCTGGGCATCCGTGCACTTTTCCCGGAGATGCTGAACAATAAGGAAATGAGGACGCCGTTCCCCTCCACAATGTGTACATCCTCTTCCAACATTGCTTCAGATTCAGGCAAGAGGGGTCCCTGACCTGGGCCTTCGGATGGCTCTGTCTGGCTGTCCGTCTTCACAATCAAAGAGTCCATGGGCTAAGTGGGCATGCCCACTCAGAGCCTATGTTAGTCCCACATCTAGATCCTTGTTGGGGGACGGGGTCCCCAGAATCCTAAAATTCCCTGTAAAGATGATCCCAAGTCTCTTTCCTCTTCTCCAGATCCGTCCTCCTGAAGCCAGACTGCGTGTCACTGAGCACACTTCAAGGTCCTGGGGAAGACTGTTCATGAGAGGTGTGGAAGGAGTTTGCATTTGCAGGCTGGGGAGCCCGGACGCATGGGTGCATGGCCCCTCACCATGTGGGGCAGAGACAGGAGTGGAAAGAGAACACAGGGGAGTCAGGAGCAGCTCCTTTCTGCACCTCTAGGTGCTGCCACACTCTGCTGTGGAACTCTGAGTAGTCTCAGAACTCAAAATTTGAACCTGATCTCTCCAGTCCTTATGGATGGCTTGTTCATCCCCAGAGGCTGAAACATTGAACAGCTATTTGCTTGAGCTAGAACCTGTATGTGTTCAGATGCATTGTTTATGGTACTCCAGCCTTGACTCTGAAAATGCCAGGACAACACTGTCCTCTTCTTTCTACCCATTCAGATTCTAATTCTGCTCAGTAGTGACTCAAATCCAGGACCCTCTCAAGTCCCTCCTCCTTCTCTGAGGCTTCAAGTTACACTGTACAACACGGAACCCGAGAGCCCCATGTGGCTGTTGCGCATTTACAGTGTGGCCAGGGTGACTAAAGAACCGAATTTTATCCAATTCTTTACTCCAATTAATTTAAAGTTTAAAAACTAAAGCAGTGCAATATTTTTAAACACATCAAGGGCAGGTTGATAATATTTTGAGTATATTGGTTTAATAAAATTAATTTCACTTTTTTCCTTTCACCGTCTAAAAATCTGGATACTAGAAAATTTTAAATTACATATGTGGCTTGTATTTCTGTTAGACAGTGTTGGCTCAACGCTGGCAAATTCATCTGTCACGTTACTTCTGCTCATACCTTTTAATACTAGGATATATATAATTCAATATTTCTTCTTTGTTTCCTTGGTGTTAAAACTATCTTCCTAGAAAGACAGGGCACCACTGATACTTCTACAAGTGCTCTGTAAGAGTTAAACTCTACTGTCTAATAGCCAGTGCATTTAATTTGTATAAACTTGCCAATCGTTTGAAACGCGAGTTGCTCAGTCTTTTGTACTCTAAATCACATGTATGGTGGCTATTGATTTGGATGGTAACTTGTTTCCAACCAAATATGCAGGGCAATACAAACCTTTGTACTTAATTAGTCTAAATCATCTGAGACTGGATCTGTGTGAAGTTGCTATCTGAATCCTTCTCAATGTAAAGGATTTCCCCACTTGGAATGGATGCAAAGATGACTGTCCTTCCACTTCTCACATCTGGCAAGACAGGGACTGGTCTAGTCTAGAGCAGTTCTGCTGTCTGCCTCCTCCCATCTGCAGACCCCATTTCTGCATGTTCGGAACGTGAGGCTCGAAGGTCTCTTCCAGCTCTGACACTCTGCGGCAACCTGCTCGGGGTGTCTCCTAGGGCAGCTTCTTGGGTTGGCTTTCTCGCCAGAAGGCTCCTTATGATCTGACAGCCCATATGTCTCAGGACATTGGACCTACCTTTCTTTCTGGAGAACTCTAGGCAACCGCTGCAGCCTGCCTCATGCAGTGTGAAGTTTCCAAAGAGTTGGCACACTGCCTAGGTTTCCTCAGAAATTGGGGGAGTGTGGAGCCAGGCGATTGTTTTTATACTTTGAGCTACTTCTTCCTTCCTGTACCCGTGGAGGGACACAGGGAGTGCCATTTGTGTACCTTGGAAGTTTTAAGATGTGCAGAGATGGTCTTATTTAAGGCCAAACATTCTTAAATGCTACCAAAAAATAGTGCATTAACTATTGTCATCAAAACTCAGTTTCAGATTTCTTTCTATAGGAGAGCCTCATTTCTCAAAAAGTTGAAATTAAGTTGTGAAACAATTAGCTTTTTGGTTAAGTTATATGATATTGTATTATAATGTATTACAACTGGTTTCCTTGCTTGTTCTTAAACAACTGCTGTGTGCCGGACCTGGGGCTAGGTTCTGAAATGAGTTAGAAAATCAACAGGACAAGATCCCAAGCTCACAATCCAGCCCTGGAGCCAGGCAAAGACAGAGAACTCTAAAAGAGAATTCAGGGAAATTACTCTTTAGAAGATTCAGTGATGTTGTAGAATACTATTCCTAAGGGCAAGGATGAAGGCTGTCAAATTTTAACAATTCTATGAAATATTTTCTTTAAATAAAAGTCACTCAATCTGTGAGTGCTCTAACAGCAAACAATATCTGAAGAGCAACTGAAGTCACCAGGCTGTCTTTTTGAGGATAGGATGCATGCCTTACCTGTGATATAAAAGTTTATGTTTCTCTCCACAGTCCCAGCTTTATTAGAAGCCATGCAGCTGTAGGTCCCAGAAATTCTAGAGTCAGCCACAACCAAGGTGCTAGCAGTCTACAAAAGAAAAGGAAATTTTAGCTAGTGATAGGACAAAGCACCATTTGAACATCGGTCAGCTACTTCTGCGGGTTGAAATGATTCAGCTATTTCATTCATTCAACAAAGATAGTAAATGCATGCACGAGTGGTGGTTACCAGAAGGCTCTGCCCTTCCCGAGCCCCAGTGAGAATGGAAAAATAACAGGAAAGCAGGTCCTCAGTAGACCGGAGCCAATGACGTCCGCCTCGTACTAGGGTTTCAGGGTTATTTATCTCATGCTGCTGGTGCAACAATTAAAGGCCTGAAGCTAAGATGTGGGACTGCACGTCCTACTCTCTGAGGTGGTCAGTTCCACGTCAACAAGAGCAACAGGTGAGGCCGAAGCCTCCCTTCATTTGGATGGCCTGAGATTGTGGCTGTTCTCTGGGGACAGGAACCTTAGAGTGTTAAGTGAGCAGGGACAGAAGAGATAGGTTGACTGAACCATTTTTTTTTTAATGTGCTCAAAGACTGTGGCATTGTAGCCTGATGGTGTTGGAGGAGAAGAAGGAGAGCTCATTGAGATTATTGCCTGTGTTTGTCAATGACTTAATTTCTTGGTCTGTAAATTCCTCATCTAGGAAATGAGGATATAAGTTATGAATTAATTCCATGATCATTTCACTAGATTTTAGTGCTGCTATTTGACAAATTGGCCCTTGTTACAAAAAGACCAGGAGTCAAATTTGTGTAAACTTGAGAGCACTTTAGAAACTATATGTCTCAAAAAGTAATAAAACTCAAATTTATACAGCATAAAGACTTGCATTGCTATCTTCTTTTAAGAGAAAAATTAGTAACATGAAAAAATTGTTGAGTTTTAAAATCCAACCCAACCTTGCAAAAAAGTAATGCATACTATATGAAAAAAATGAAAAAGCAAATTTTTTATATTTAAACTTATTTTTAAAATATTGACCTAGTTACTTATAAACTGTTGCAGCCTATCTCCTTGGACACACATAACTGGCTTTGAAGTTGTACGGGCTGTGCTGATGCTTCCGGACTAACGGCATGTCCTAGCTGGAGTATAATGGCTGAGCGGCTTCTAGGCTAAAGTAACATACGAGCTGAAATGAGACCACGGATTTTCTAAAGTGGTCAACACAAATTCTAGAAAAAGCCTTATGTTTTTTCTGAGTTGCCAAGTAATATGCTAGGCACTTTACATGTTCTCATATCCCATTCAAGAAATTAAGCTATTTCTGTCTTTAGTCTACAGATCAGGAAGACTAAAAATATACTCCTTATTTTTAGTCAAGTTTGTTGCTCCACATTCTTTGTAATTTTCACTATGATATAGTGAGTATTACACGATGGTTGCTCTTCTGTCTGTTGGATCTCTTTAATTATATATATCCAGATATTCTTTGTATATTATTGAAATTATTGGAAATGAAAGTATCTACAATATGTGGCATTTTTCATTCAATTTAGAAAACACTGACTGAGCTTTTACTGGGTATTGCCCAGATGTTTTAAGGAAGATGGAGATGAATATGACATTCTTATTTGTAACCTTGAAGGACCACTTTAAGATTATAAAGGAGAATGTCCCAGCTTGAAAATCCAATATATATTACTCTCTTTTGCAGAAGAACACTCACACAAAGACAGATAAGCAGTGAAGTGAATGGAAGAGAGCTCAGGTGTCTCCCTTTTGATTATTAATCTGTAAGAGGTGGGGAATAAAAAAAATTCTGGATAGCCATTTCCTTTGAATTATTGCATCCACCACTTAAGAGTCATGGAAGAAAAGGAAAGCAGTTAGGAGAGAAGGTTATAGGTGGCAATGTGAAATGAAGGGCTAGCTGGTGGCAGCTGGAAGGACGTGTCTCAGCAAACCCAGGCTCAGATGCCCGACGCAGCGTGCCACACTGAGTTCAGGCCCAAGGATGCAGACGGGTTGGTGGGGGGGGGGGGGCTCGCAGCCCCTCCCTCGCTTCTTGCCTCTCCTGTAAGTACTGCCTTCTTATGGAGTTAGCTCTCTAGTGTTTTCCCTAATGGGCCTCAGTAGAACTTTATTTAGAGTCTCAGATCTATCATTTCTCAATAAATAGCTGAAAAACTCATTTCTATTTGGCTTGAGAATATCTGATATTATGGACAGCAATAACCTGAATCTGAAAGTTATATTTGGGCTTCTATTAAAAATTATTGTGATTTCACTGAACTCAAAGCAACTAAGAACAAGAACTGGGTTCCATGATAAGGGAGAATCATCAGATGTACACATTTGCCATATTTAAGACATGTGCAGGCCATCTGGGATGGCCGTCTTACAAGACTCCAGCACAGTCAGGCAGCTCAGGAGCTTTGTATAATCAATGAAATTGAGGTACCTAGAAGTGAAATGAATCCAGTCTCATGATAAACCATAGAGATACTAATGCATTTGAGTCTCTCTTATTTTGCCCGAATGGGCCATCCTAAAACAGACACCTTACTTTTAGTGACGTATGCCACAGAACTCACCTCTCCAAAGTTTCTATTAAAATTGAACTATAAAATTACACTGATGGGAGTTTTCATTATTTCTTTGGTTCTGGGTACCTTTATGTAGCCCTTACTGTGTGCCAGATAGTGTGCAAAGCATTATCTCATTTAACCCTCCCTCTGGCCCTGAAAGGGCTGTATTACCCTCTTCTGCACAAGAAGCAACTGAGGTCATAGGAGGTTAAGTGATTCACTCAAAGATACACAGTAGCACAGGCAGACCTAGGTAGAACTGATACACAAAACTACTTCTTACCCTAAAACTATTTAAACTGATACCACAGATCTATTGTAGAGTTCTGACTGTCTTTCAAATTGGGTTTATTCCTCAAGAATACTTCCTTTAGCCAGCAGAGATAGGTCACATAAGCTAAATGCTACTATGTACAGGAATATTAATTTCTTTCTTAGTATTTTACAAAAGCTACAAGCTATTTTTCAATGTATATTGTGTTACATGGTTTGAGAATAGGAGTGATGAATGAAAAAGTTATAATTAAAGAAAACTTAAAAATAAGATGAAACTTGTATTGCATGATCAACTTTATTAAAAACTATCTGATTTCAAGAGTACTCCTGTTTTTTCAGAGAATATATATTGTTAATTTAAACATATTTTCATGAAAAATGAAATATTTTTTGACAATTGAAGTATAAACTTTATAGGATCAGAGAAAAAAAGGCTCAAATATGAATTATAAGTGAGTATCAATCATCTGGACTGACGGCAGTAAGTCTCAATGCAAGAGTCTTCTGTGTTAAAGGGGCCAACTCATTCTTTGGTGCTCATAACCAAATACTATTGTCTCAAGGAGAAAAGATACAAATAAAGGAATAGTTGGAACCCAAATACCAACTCAATATTTTAAAAGAGAAAGTGCCAAGAATTTGAGTTGTAGCATGTGTTTAAAATAATAATAATTTATTTTACAAGGCACACCGAAAGAAATTCTCCAAGATTTATGATTGTATTATTACTATAATTAATTTTCATTTGCAACAATATTCTGGCTCTGGACCCTCACTTTGGGGGTGCCTCTACTTGCCCTGCCAGGACCTCAAAAATTTAGATATTAGAAACAGACCCTTTAAGGCCATTCTCTGGTTCTTTTGTATGACTCAGGAACACTGACGAAAACCCTCCTCACGTACTGTAAGTCCGGAAGTTATTCATATTCCCTCCCCCCTTTTCGCTAAGTATTAGTAATTCACCACTACAATATGGTTTGAACCTCACAGAATAGAATGGATGGGATGACGTGTAATTCGGCCTAATCTCCAGCAAAAGTTTTTTTTAAACTCTGTATACAGAACAGAGATTTTAATCTCAGAATGTTTCTAATATAGTTTCCTCCTAAGTGTCACAGGGAGACATAAAAGGAGACATGGAGAAAGGTCATGGAAAAATCTAAAATTAGCCCGGGGTGGCACATTTGAGCCACGTGATGGAAGAATAGAACATGAATGAAATTAGAAAAATTGGGGAATGTGCGGGCCACCCAACAGAAACTGGGATTCTGCGACTCGGTGCTGATGCTTCTGTCACGGACTGCCGCACGCGGTGTGCCACTTCCCACTCTCACCTCCAAACAGCTTCAGTGGGAACGGTGCTGACACCCTGTGTTGTCACAGTTCTCCAGCCTCGCAGAAGTAACGCTGATATGTGTTTCCTGTGCGTTTTTTCTGCCCCAGGCTCCTTCTACTTCCTACTCTGCATCTACAGACCTCGCAGTCTGGCTGCCCCCTTTAAACAATACAAAACTCCGCGTTTCGTACTAGCAACTCCACTGATGACTCACTTTTCACAAATCTAGGCCAAAACCTGCCAGTAAGGAACTGAATTTTATTGTCCCCTGCACTCTTACTTGAATTACATCAAAACAAAACAAAACAAAGGGAAAAAATGCAAGTCCCTGAAATCCGACAGGTGCACCGGCGGACCCACTGTCCACTGATCTGTGGGGCCGGGGCTGTCGCTGGGCGTGCCGACACTCTGCTCCAGCGAAAAGGATCGTGACAGTCCAAGTTGGGACTGCACTTTCTTAAAATGTACAGAACATAAAGGCGGTTTGAATTGTAAAGGGAAGACCAGTACAAATCATTCTGAAATAGCAAAACGTCCACTTGTTATTATTATATGAAAGGTAATTTTTCATAAAGATATATTAATAAAGTAAAAAATTCTTTAAAAGTTAGAACCTAAAATTAATAATTTACTTAAAGTCTAATGTGTTATAGCCACTAAAAGGATATTTTATATATACAGATATACATATATATCAACTTTGTTTAGAAAGAGTATTAACTATTATTTGCATTGCACGTAACTGCTTAACAAATAGTCTTCATTATATATGATCCCCATAATTCTGGGACTCACATTAGGGTCTATATGACAACCACTTTTTCTTTTTTTCATCTTCACCACAGGACATGCTTATTGATTTTTATAGAGAGGGAATATAAGAGAGAAAAATTGATCAGTTGCCTCTTGTTATGCACCCCAACTGGGTACTGAACCTGCAACCTAGGTGTGTGCCCTGACCAGGAATCCAGCCCACAACCCTTTGGACCACGGGACAATGCTCCAACCAACTGAGCCACACCAGCCAGGACTATGATGACCACCTTTGTAACAACAGGCAAATTAGGTAGGGCAAATATTACTAGTCCCATTTTCTGGAGGAGAGAACTCCAGTTCAGAGAGATGAACTGGTTTGCACGTGGTTCTACAAGACAGAAAGTGGCAGAGTCTGACTGCACCTGGGAAGGCATAGGTACCCACTGGGTCTGGAGATTGATATTTAACACCTCTGAGTAACCAGAGAGTTACATGTAAATCAGGGAAGTTCCTTTTCCTAGCTCCTGCTGTTGTGCTACTACTCTCTAAGGAGTCAGGTAGCCACTTCATGGTTCCGGCTACTCAGAAACCTCACCTCGCCTTCTCACTTTCCATTTTATTTTCTATAGCTTATTTTTGTGAATTTAACTTTCAAGTTTATAGACTTTCCTCTTTCCTAGTATTTCATTACAACGCCCCCTCATCGACAGCTACACGTCATGGAATGTTTCAAACTGCTGTTCATTTGTATCAGAGAAAAAAAACCCCTATAAACCACCTACAACTGCTGGTAGTTATAAAAACATTTCCTAAATCCTTGACAAACCATTGCTGATAGTCTCATGGAAGCCACCCCCATTTTAACTGATATTTAACTGTATTGGCTTAAGTCTGCAGAATACTGGGTTTTGGAACAGGAAGACTTTGGTTTGAGCTCTTTATTTTCCACTTTTACACTGTGTGGCTTTGAGTTAATCATCTTATCATGCTAGTTTTTCTTATCTTTAAAATGGAGATAACCACTTTAGCCAGCCAAAAAATGACATCGACATTAGTGTATGTCAAAAAGTTTCACACATTGAAGAACTCAGATGTTATTTGTTGTTACTGCTATTGTTAAATCCTACACAGACAATGATGCCATCTATTTTGTCGCCTTCAAATGCATACAGCTGAATAAATAGGTCACAAGCATAACCCTCTCAAGCAGATGGCATCTGCATTAACAGATGACTCCAAATCAAGACATGCAAGTATGGACATTTCGGCAAGGGGTTGTTTGATATATATTTTTTCCTTTTCAAAGCATCACTATTCCATGCCTTTAATAGCAGATTTTTACGTGTTCTTTTCACTAATTCCACAGAAAAAAAAAGCCAGCCGGTCTGAGGCCCACTGAGATTTGCCTGGTGCCAGCTGTGCGGAGGCTCAGTGGAGGTTAGGGGAGAACAGAATGAATAAGTAGCACAGGAGTGGCAGAAAAGATGCCTGCTGGACCCTGATGAGATTGGATACTTTTTGGCGGGTGTTGAAGTTCCTCTCTTATAACGATTAGTTTCAGAGGTACAATATAATGATTTGGTATTTGTATATATTGCAAAATGATCACCATAATAACTCTAGTTAACATCTTTCACCACATATAATTACAATTTTTTTCTTGTGATGAGAACTTTTAAGATCTATTTTCTTAGCAACTTTTTAAAAAAGATTTTATTTATTCCTAGAGAAAGGGAAAGGCGGGGGGAGAAAGAGAGGCTGAGAAACATCAATGTGTGAGAGAAAAATTGACTGGTTGCCTCTCACATGCTCCCCAACAGGGGACTGGGCCTGCAACCTAGGCAAATGCCCTGATGGGGAATCGAACCAGTAACATTTTGCTTTGTGAGATGACACTCAACCAGCTGAGCCACACTGCTCAGGGCTCTTATCAACATCTAAGTGTGCAATATAGTATTACCACTATAGCTTCCATGCTGTACATTAAACTCCCATGACTTACTTATTTTTAACTGGCAGTTTGTATCTTTTGACCCCCTTTACCTTGTTTGCCCACCCCCACCTTCTGCCTCTGGCAACAGCCAATCTATTCTCTGTATCTATCAGCTTGATGTTTTTTGTTGTTGTTTGTTTTGTTTTAGATTGCATATACAAATGACGTATTTGTTTTCCTCTGACTTATTTTATTTAGCATAATGCCCTCAAGGTGTATCCATGTTGTCACAAATGGCAAGATTTCATTCTTTATTATAGCTGAATAATATTCTGTTGTGTATACACACTGAATTTTCTTTATTCACTCATCCATTGAGGAGTACTTAGGTTGTTATCATTTCTTGGATATTTTGAGTAATGCTGTAATGAATGTGGAGGTGCCTATATCTCACTGAGTTAGTATGTTCATTTTCTTCAACTATGTACCTATAATTGGGATTGCTGGATCAATTAGTTCCATTGATCCAGCAATATGATAGTTCCATTTTTTTTAAGGAAACTCCATACTGTTTTCCATTGTGTCTGCACCAATTTACATTCCCACCAACAGTGCACAAGGGTTCCCTTTTCTCCACATCCTGGCCCACAGTTGTTATCTTTATCTTTTTGATGATGGCCATTCTTAACAGGTATGAGGTAGTATGTCATTGTGGTTTTGATTTACATAGCTTAAGACAGAAAATCTTGACACTGAATGTTTGTATACCCCAACATAGTCAGGCTTTGCTCTTGCAAAGACAAAGGGAAAAACAAGATATTTTGTGAAAAGGGAACATTACATTTTAGCTTTTTCTTAGCATCACCCCACTTTATGTATGGCAGTGATTCTCAGTCCTGGCCTCTCCGGGGAGCTTTTATGAACCCGGGGCTCCACCCCAGAGGCTCAAATGTAATAATTGGGTGAGTACTCTAACATGCCCCCAGAGCGTAGCAGAGAAGCACTGATGTGGGCAAATCTGATGTCTAGGAGGCAGTTTCGCCTCTTCTGCTAGGACCGGTCCTCAGTGCTTTGGAGCTGGTGGTCGGCGGGAGAATGCCACCGTTGGAGCGGTCTCGGTGCCCCTCTCAGGGAGTCGTAGCTCAATACTTTCTTCTCTCTGATTTTTTGTTCAGCCTTTTAACTATGTCAGGTTCTAATAAACCCAGAACTAGGAACTGAGTGTGTGTTTTTAGAATAAATATCCCAGTGCTTATTTTTCCAAAAAATACCTTATTCTTTCCTTTTACTACTGCCGTGCGCTGAGTGATGCTCTCGATTCTGTTTCCTACGTTGCTGTCAGGATCCAGGATAAAGGATTCTTCACTACTGGAGCAAAAGTCATACCTATTTAAAAAAAAAAAAAGTCATTACTGTGTTGCTTTGCAACACGGTCAAGCCCAAGGCTTCAGGTGAAATGAGAATCACTGGGCAACAACAAAAACAAACAAAGAAACAAATAAATAAAGTCATTGGATGAATGCTTGGGTAACAAAAATCACATTTTCCCCCTTTCCTTAGATTTCCCCCAATATCTGTCCTCAAAACTTAAAAATAGCAAATATATTTTCCATGACCTGAAAAACCCATACTGATGTATCTCCATACATCTTTCCTGTTCTAAATGTTAATTATGAAGTAAAAATGCCTAAATTAGAAAGTTTTAGTATCTAGATTTTAATTAGTTTGTAGTGGAGGAAACATATAAACAGAAAAAATGAAGTTATGCTAATGAATGGAAATCTCAAATAATAGCATTTCACCTCTATAAAAGGCTGGCTTTTAATCAGAACATTCCATTATGCAGGTAATTTTTTCCAGGGCTAATTAGGTGTGTATGGAAACACATTATGGAACAGTTACTATGTTCAGTCTATTTCTTTTCAAGTTTGGGGGTATCATGTCAAGCTCTTTAAGTTCTCAGGCTTCAAGTGTTTAATGATAAAATAAGGATGTTGAAGTTGTTTATCTATAAAATCTTTTTTGATTCTAAAAGTCCATGAAATCTCTCCTATTATTTCAAACTAGTTACTGGAGAGATTTCGACCTGGATCCGGAAGTCAGCATGTTCTCTCAGACACATTACCATCAGCAGGCTTCTGTTTTCGTGCAGTTTCATTGGTCTAAGTATTTACTGAGCATTTGTTGCACTTCATGTATCCTACATTCTACCTGAATAAACCCCCCAAACAACAAAAAAGACATTCAAGTCCATCCTGACCTGGACAGTGCACCAGCATCTGAACTACCCTTGCTGGCCCCTGGCTTTGCCACTCTGACATCCCCCAAACTGCTGGCAGACCAACTCCTGAATGCTCTGGTTTTCAGGGGAGTCCTTTTGCTACCGTACTGGAGAAAGCCCAGGCTTCCTTGTCTGACAGTCAAGGCCATCCACAGTCGATTCCCTGCATGCTTTGCCAACCTGAACCCTACAGAAGCTCTTTGTTGTAGTCAAATCATGTTTTGGTTTGGTTAGTTCAGAGTCCTGGACCCGGACTCACAGGGCTCCTAAATCCTAGTCCCACCCCGCACAACTAGTCTTCTCTTCAAAAAAATAAGAATAAAAATATACCCACCTTGTTAATCTCACAGGATTATATAAGCATTACATGACTTAATTTACCTACAGAGGTTTTATAAATTAAAGACACCGCAGAAAAGTAAGGAAATATTCTCACTGTATCATGTGGTATGTGGTTCCTCCACTTCACTCACTCAGCTACCACGGACTGGACACCCTCTCTTCCCACAACCTGACCTTATCTAACAGCTTCTTCTGACCTCTGCGACTCCTCACTGCTCTCATGACTGGAGCCACTCACTGAATTTATTGCAAGTTCACCTTAAAAGACTCCTTGAGATTTAAATATGGATTTATTTGAGACACAATGCAAATAGAGAGAGACTTCAGGTCCCTCCGAACTGCACCTGTGGGCTCCCAAGGTTTGCACTTTTCTGCCAGTCTGGGCAGGGAAGGAGAGACAGGTGCTGGCGGAGCCTGAATTGAGGACCTACAGCCACCCTCAGCCAGACCCTCTGCTTCCCGACGAACTTACGTATTGATTTTTCTGTTTCCTTGTACTGTGACCATTTCATTGAAGCATTTTGTATTGCTATGTGTTGGACTAGAATTTATTGTGAGCAGAAAGTTTGTTGGGCTTTACATCTTTGGGCAGATTTTGGAGATATTCAAACCAGGAGAAACTTTTAGAGCCCAATTTCCAGAAAAATTGAGTGGATGATCTTAAGGAGCCAAAGGCAGCTGTGACTTACGTGAGATGAAGGTGAGAGGGCAAATACGTGAGAAAAAGGGAAGAGAGACAGGATTGTGATGATCAGTGGGAAGTCCTGTGATATTCCTTCCTGGGCCTGGAGCTGAGGAAGGCTCCAGAGTCTGAAACGAGCCAGTCTTCTGGCTGGTCTCCCCTCCTGGACATGCTGCCCATGAGGTCCTCCCCAGAGCACCCACACTTTCTAAGTTTCCATTTAATGCTTCCCAGGCCCTACTGGGCCAACAGCTACAGGGGGACAGGGGCCACATCTACTTCTTCACCCTGTCCTCACAGTTAAACAAAGGACTAGGAGGTAATTGGTGCTCCATAAACATGTATAAACATACAAACAAGCATGAGGTACTGATACATTGTTTCTAGTAAGAGGTTTCATTTGTTCCAGTTATTATTTTCAAACATACTGATAAGTGCACATAATATAATAAATCTTCATATACCCAGCACCCAAATTTAAAGCTAAGATTTTACATTTGTTTCATCTGTTCCTTATTTCTTTTTATTTTTTATAAGTGTTTTAAAGCAAATCCCAGACATAATATCATTTTGCTCTAGTTTTCATTATTAGTATTCTACACTTTCTAGGCTATAACATCTATGCTTCAAACTAGTACTTGACCTCACATTTTTCACACATGCTCAGTACTTGTATGAGTATATACAATGTATATGTACATTATAGGTATATGGGGTTTATGACACCTCTATGAACACGTATACACCTATGTTAGACATGTGTGTTTATACGGGCCATCACAACAACAAACAGCTGAAGTTCTGTTGTATCTGAAAGAGAAGCATTTCATTTCATTCTTTTTCCCCCAAAGAAGCAAAAAGGATAGGGAGGTCTTAGACAAAGATCATAGTTTCATACGCTTGGTCTTCAGGAAATACAAAGAAATATGTGAGAGTAAAGCCCGTCTGGGTGTTTCCGGAGGGAAGCGCTGTCTGCTGCCGGAGTTCAGTAGGGGTTGTCAACCTCTGACTCCCGCCCCCGGCCCTAAGTCTGAGGGCGGTTACGGATGGCACAGCCCCAGCGTGGAAAGTATAGGCTAGACTAGTGCAAGGCCCTCCAAACAAAAAGGACAGATTCTGTGGCTGTTTTCTAATTTGGGGGCTATTATTTTTCCCTCTTTGTAATTGGAACCATAAAAATAGAATGTCATTTGGGAGCCTGACTATATAACAGCACTTGAAACGGGATTTGGGGGGAGGGGAGTTTGCCTAAGCCTTAAGAATACATCAAGCTCTTAAGGAAGTAGATTGTGCCATGTTTGAAGATGCAAAGATAATCACTGTGCTGGGAACCGTCTTGAGGGGGGAGGAAGCCGAACAACAAGAGGAAAGCAGCGCTCGCTCCTGATTTCGCACAGGAAGCCCACAGCACCTCCTGCCAAGGAGAGATAAGAAAGCTCCCAGGCACTATTCTGGACAAGGCCACTGTTATCAGCTTCAACTCCACCGTCCTCTCTCTGCTCCAAGCCTCTGTCCCTTTCCTAATGAGTTTTAGGGCCCTGACCTCCATTTGCATGTAGCATGCCAAGTACAATAGCATGGAGGTATTTATAACCATTGAGAGGGGAAAAAAAATTTCCGGGGTAAGAGTGTACTCCATGTCATCTCATCCATTGCCCTGGAGTTGAAACAAATTAGTTACTCGAGATTGATATAAATAAATTAAGAGAAAGCAGCCAATTTCATATCCAACACATGGAGCTGGGGCCCTACATGTGACATGTCAGTCTCTGTAACTCCAGGCAGGAGCCACCTGTGGGACTCTCCCATCTGTTCTAAGTTACCAGCCTTCTTCTCTTGACATTATTAGGGAAACGCCAGCCTCCAGAGACGTAGAAGACATTACTGACCTACATGCTTTGGGTTGATTTTCCTGTAGGGGTGATGGATTTGCCCTGTTCCCTTCACACTCGTAAGCATTTGGCTCCTCTGTGACCACAGACAGATACAGGCAGTCTGGGGCCACAGATAAGGAAGGGCAAAGCCAACACTGTCCCCGAGAGGCATGTTAACCAGCCACAGGTTAGAATAACTATAATATATACCGTGCACATTACTCTCTACTACAACAAGGACTATATTTCCCATGCACTTGGCAGTACATACATGCTATCTCACTAATCTGTATGATATCTTAAAAAGTAAGTACTCTCATCTCCCATTTAATGAGTAAGGAGATTGAGGATTAGAGAGGTCAAACAACTAGTAAGTGGCAGAGGCAGAATTCATAATCAGTCATGGCTTATTCCAGAATCTGTGCACTTAACCCGTAGGTAACATAACATCCACGGACAAGCATCACGTAACAAGAAGTTGCTGTGCTTCAGTGCTTCTGTGTGCACAGGAAGACCAGGCTTCAAATATTCACTACACGAATACTATTAACATAGTGGGGATTTGAATTTTTTTAGCCCTTTTTGTATAACATGGTCAGTTTCTTTCCCAAGTTTGGCAAACAAATCTCATCATACACAACCAAAATGTGTTGAGTATCCAATGTGCCTGAGGTCTGCAAGTTGTCTATAGTAGAGCTCCCTTTGTTACCCCACCATTCTGAACCTAATTCCAAATCACCTTTGCAAATCCAGCCCAGGAAACACAATGCACAGTATGCACTCAAGGGGCCCCTTTGGGCTCCCCTGTGATTTTCCTTAGGTGCTGGCTTTGAACAATTCCAACTTTCAGGCTTTCTTCATTTCTTCTGCCTCTCTTTCTCCACCCTCTGCCTGGGTGCAGAGCTGGTGCTTTTCTTCCTTTAGAGGACAGACTGTTGCATCCAGTGGAGTAAGAAGGGACAGTCCAGCTGGGTGAGCTTCAGCCACTGATAGTTAGTATCTGTGTTTTCTTTGAAGTGACTCTTCTATGAGCAAACAATAGTGTTTGAAGAATGAAGTGAGATGATTCAGGCCTGCATTTCACCTTTCTGGAGATCACCCATCTGTTTAGTGCCTGTTCTAGTAACCAAGACCCCTGTCATCACAAAATCCTCATTTCATAAATGATTTCTAGCAAGTTTCATAACCACCCCAATCCTAGAAAGTT